CCGGTTAAGCATCCGGAAGATTTGCCTTGCAGTTTGTTGATTCCAGTTACGACTAGGATGGACGCGCCTTAGCGCTCGCTGGGCTGCACGTCGCCGAGCACGAGCGCGCCGTCGCCGGTGAAGTCGTCTCTCTTCCACTCGCCCTCGTAGAACGTGCCGTCCGTGTACGTGCAGCGGCCAAAGCCGTGGCGCTGGTCGGCGGCCCAGTGGCCGTCGTAGACGAGCCCCGCTGCGTACGTGCACGTGCCTAGAGCGCGTTGACATCGCCGACGATCCGCGACGTGCTTGTACCTTGGCCGCAGCGCTGGTCGCCGACCCACTTGCCCTCGTACTTGTCGCGGGTGCGCGCAAAGTCGCACGTGCCAAACCCGTTCTTCTTGCCGTTCTTGAACTCGCCGCGGTAGATGGTGCCGTCATAGAGCATGCTCATCCCTTCGCTACGCAGAGCGCATCAAGACGAGGGCATATGACCTATCGGTGGCGCACCCGTCGCGCTTGCCGTGGGCCCAGCGCCCCGCGTACATCTCGCCGCGCGACGGGTACCCGTGCGTCTCGAAGCGTCCATTGCCGTGGGGCAAGCTGGTCGCGCTCTCGACCTCGCCCTCGTACGTGCCGATGCGAGCGCTGTCGAGTGCAAATTCCTCGATCGTCGCATGGGACGTGTCCAAGGTGTCGGACGCCCACGCGCCGCGCAACACCGACCCGTTGACATAGCCCAAGGCGCCGCTGCCGTCGCGCGCGTCGGCCTCCCACGCGCCGTCGTAGTAGGCCACCTACGCGTATCCGTACGACCCGCGGCTTAGCATGCCATCCGTACGCTGGTCGACGGCGACGGCGCGATCGTGAGCTTCCCGAGACCGGCCCGCGCCCCTTGCCGCCACGCGCCGTCGTAAACGTCTCCGTTGGCATACGTCATGACGCCAATTCCGTCAAAGACATCGTTGGCCCAGTGACCTTCGTACACGCGGCCATCGACAAAGGTGCAGCGCCCGAGGCCGCGCCGCATGTCCGTGTCTGGGTCTAGCTCGCCGACGTACACGTCCCCGTTCGGGTACTGGAAGGTGCGGATCTTCTCGAAGCGGGACATGTCGGGCGCAGGCTCGTATTGGTACTGCCAGAGGTCCACAACGGACGTCGCGTTGCGCCAGACGTGGCCCGCTGCGGTGCCGCCAAAGAGATATAGCTTGCGGCGGTCGGGCGATGCGACCGGGGCGTGTCCCACCGAGCTGCACCATCATAGTATACAGTGAGGAATGAAAGCGGTCCGTACCTTTGGAGCGCCAAGCAGCCCGTGACGCGGTCGACGAGGCCGGTCGACGCGTCCAGCAGAAGAAAGGTGGCACTCTCAACCGGTCCGTCCGCCGCAACACCGCCAAAGACCACAATACGGTCCAGAGGCGTGGCGTCCGTGACCGTCTAATGAGGAGAAGAGATGCACATGTTGCGAGGTTTTCGGGTTCTTGTGACGGACGGACCTGAGGAAAGTAGTCGGACGGCGTGTTGGCATCGATGGGGACGCTCATGGAGACGGCGGCGTGAAAGCACGTAGCGAGCAGCGGCGACGAGGCCAGCGTGCTCCACGTAGCGATGCCTGTGGAGAGATCCAAGATGCTGATCGCGTCGTTGTGGTGCGCGCCTTTGATACCGCCAAACACGAGGACCTTCTCGCCGGAGTGCAACGGCTCGCACGTGTGGTGGGCGAGCGGTAGCGGCGACGCACCCTCCGTCTACCGTGTACATCAGCAAAGCAACGGGTCGGGGCTTGTCGCTACCGAGAGTTTGAGCCACTTGTGCGATGCTGCGGGCCCGTCGCTCGGCTCGTCTGTCTTTTCCGCAGTCTTGTAGATCCACACGTCTTTCATGTGCGTTGGCGCCACCGAGCTCCGGCCACCGAGCAGCAAAAGCGCCTCCTCGGGCTCGCTGACCACCGGCGCGGCCTGGCCCTTGGTCGTCTTGGTCGCGTCTTGGGCGGGACGGTACTTGACAAGCGTGAGCGAGTGCCACGCGCGCGGCGCCGGCGCCTCGTCCTCGGTCTTTCGCGGCACCTACGGGATTTGAGCTGCGATGGCACACGCGCGCCAACACACCGCTTCGATCGTGAGGATGTTGGCGTCCAGCTGAAGCTTGTACACGTCGTCCAAGCTCTCGTAGGCATGTTTGTCGCTCGAAACAGCTTCGCCACCAAAGAGAAAGAGCGACGCCTTGGACGGCAGCGCCGCAAGACGGTGGCCTACGCAACACCTGCGTCACGACGTGTATCTCTCGAGCTAGGACGGCACCGATGCGCCGGGAGATGCGGCCCTGGACGTCGTAGTCGTACAGGATCCGCTCACTCGTTAGATCGAAGACTAGGATGAGCGCGCTCTCGTTGAAGTCTTCGCCCGGCGTCTCCCGCCCACCGAGCACAATCGCCCTACGCGATGACATGATGCGACGTCCTCACCGAACTTAACGCACCGGTCGCCAAGGACGCCGACGGCGGCGCCTGTGTAACCAACGCAGTCGAGGTTCGTCTCCTTGTAGTTGCCATTCCACGAGTCGATCTCCTTGTGGCTGAAGAAAGCCATCCGTCCTCCGTGTTTCGATTCTAACGCGGCCGAGTAACCGCCCAAAACGCATCACTGAGGTTGGCCAGTTGGCTTGCCGACACGCTTGCTGCCGTGACGGAGGCAGTTGCGGGGGCGTGCGAGTAGCCACCTTGGAGCGTCGAGCATAAGAGCGGCTGGCTATTGTAGTCTGGGATCTTGTACGCCTTGAGACCGCCGGGCCGATGCAGAGGACGCACGCACTTGGCAGAGACAGAAAGCATGCAGACGTCGCCGTGTCGACACACAGGTGTGGAGGCGCAGGTGCTGGTGGAGGTGTGGGATTCTGGGACGCACCTCCAGCGTCAAGCCACTCTGTGGGTCTACGTCTACAATACAACCGCGATCCTGAGCACGTTTGTGGGTGCAACATGTGTCCATGCTACCACTGTCATTGCGCAAGCTCTTGTTGGTCTATCGCACTAATGCACCCTCAAGCTGTAAAACCAGAGAATATTTAAACGTATGAATTTGAATCACCAGCACGATCAACTGGTTGCCAGGCCTTTCTTCAAGTCTTTGCCACGCTGCATGACGACTGCCGCCCTGCAGCTAAAAACAGGAAATTTGCGAAGGACAACTATCGACTAGGACCGGTGCGATGACGGTGCTGTGTGCAAACCGTCGTCCTAGGTGGACGCGCGCTCTTGATCCGCCGCAGTAGAGGTTACCCAACTTGCACCCTCTCCGGCGCCGGCTCATCGACAGTGGTCTCATCGAGAAAGGATTCCTCATTTCCTTGAAGTACCTTTCTCGGACCCGATTCATACGGCGCGGGAGTGAATTCCATCCTGCAGCATTGTTCGATGTTCACGCGGCCTTTTGTTTCCTGACAGGATTGACATTGTGGTCCCATAAAGCGCCGGCGCGTGTCTACACACAGTGGCGCATATCGCTGCGCGCTCGTGACGTAGTGTAAGGTAGGAGACGGAACCACCGCTACAGTATCACTGCAAGGATCTCCCACATGATCTCCTCCCGCAACGCAAGTGGCACCGACCGAGATACTGGTATGTTTGACTATTTCCCGTCAAAGGTGCTTGAAAGCACCCTTTCGAACCGACAGTATGCACTACCAGTTTGTGTGGGACACATGATGCGGTATCCTGTGTCCCAAGCTCGGCTCCATGGCACTTGCATGCTCGAACTACTCGTTCAGCTTACTCGTACAGGTTTGCGAGGTGTCGCCTCCGACCGCCATGGTATCGATGCTACACTATACTTGGAGTTCCCGCCTGTATTAAATGATTCTGATCTGAATTGCTTCTTATGGCCTTGGGCTGCGCTCGCTCTATATATTTGTACTGGATTTTCCATCCTCCAACGTGTCCGGCATCGCGAGTAGTACCCGTCGAGGATATGTAATGACCCCGTTGGACTCGAGTGTTGGCTGTGACGGGACACTCCTTGTTTTAGAATCAACTAGTGTCTTTATCATCCACCGAGATTCATTTTTCTTTTTCGATACTGTCATGAAGATCTGCTGCTTCCACGAGTGCACCAACGCGTCCATGGACGATGGCTCCTTCAAGTGCTTCTTCCACCGCAACCGGTCCATGTGCTCGATCGCCGAGTGCTGGAACCAAGTATATGCCCGCGGTCTCTGTGTTGGCCACGGCGGCCGCAAGTCCTGCGAGTTCCCCAACTGCGTTGGGAAGGCCCGCAGCGGGCAGTTCTGCACGCGCCACAACGCGCGGCTCGAGGCCAAGCGCATGTGCGGTGTCCCCGACTGCCCTCGTGTCGCCCACCGAAAGGGCAAGTGCACACGCCACGGCGGTGGCCGCCTCTGCCAAGTCGACGACTGCAAGACCCTCGCACGCAAGGGCGGGTACTGCTGGACCCACACCAAGCAGCTGCTGCAAGAGGCGCGCGCTGCTCAAGTGCTGGATGCGACCAACACTCCAGCTCTGCTGGAGAGCGACAGTTGTTACGATGCTCTAGACCACTCCATTTTGGACATGATCCTCGAGTTGGGGCCGTCACAGACCAGTGTGTTTGAATGTACGATTTAGTGATTTGTATACGGATTTAATCTTAATAGTCTGCGGAAAGCAAGTTCCGAGGAAACCACACGAAGTCGCAACGCTTACCGCCGCGTAGAAAACGTGCTTTATAAGCGCCCAGCATACGCGTCACTTGACGTTTGCATGCTTTGACTTCCTATATGAGTGCAAGATTTGCAAGCTCCTTCATTTTACTGCGAGATTTTCGCAGCTGTTTATAGTTGGAATGCGACGATAGACAATGTTGTGCAGCTCTTTGTGAAACACACGGCACCCGACAAGTGTGTAACGTTGCTAGGATACTACCGATTGAGACACAACGATTCAGTAGCCCACATACCGACGCGAAGATCGCCTTGTCGAAAAGGGTGCACTCTACGCAGTGTCTCAGCTGCGGCACCGTGCGGCACGTATAAATCCTGCTTTGATTCACACTGAATATCTAGTGTCGAGTGTACCTTCGGGTGCTGCAGCTCCACGTCAGCCCACGGTCGCATCCAAGTGGAGCTACGCAACACGGGTCTGGCTCACGACCGCGGACGCTGCTGGTCGATCAAGTAGCCTGACGATGGACCCAGAGTGGTAACCCCGGTAATAAACCGCCTGACAAGAATATCTAGTGTCGGAAGCATCGGAAGTATCGGCCCTTGTGCAGGTTCACGTCCCACGAACTGCAACACACACGACACCGCGCTGTAGTACGGTACAGTCGGCAGACATTCATACTACCAGCATCTCGCCACCAGAATCGTTTTGGCGGTTGGGGTGCTTCGTTGTCATCGAGTGACCGCCCCGTGATACCGTGCCACGGAATTGCGGTGATGGACGTTGGGCCGCCCGTGGAAGAGCCCGATCACGTGACCGCCGTCTAGTGTTCGCTTTTAAACCTAACGCATCCGTTTCAAGCCGCTGAAGCGGGCTAGGTGGTCCACGTCATATGCTGCTCGGGACGTTTCGTGACAAACCAAATCCAGCAGCTCGACCACTTGAGGAGCCTCGTCCTCTCATTCTCACATTTTCTTTCAAGCGCATCACCATGTCGACAACGCCAATGGGCCACTTTTGCCTCCGCGCTCTCCAAGCCATCTGCGGCTTCACGGCCATGCTCACGGCCACATCGGTCACGGGCACTTCTGCTGGTGACTTTGCAATGGTCGCGGGCTACACGGTCGGCATGATGGCGATGGCCATCGCGTTTCTGCTCGGCTTTCGGTCGTTTCCCCGCGTCGTGACGGCGCCGTGGATGCTCATTTCGCTCGACGCCGTGCTCGGCCTTCTCTCGCTCATTGCCGGCATCGTGCTTCTCACGTCGACACTGCTCACGAAGACGTGCTCGCTTCAAAAATTCATGTCGCGCAAGCTGCTCGACTGCACTGCGTTTTACGCCACAATCGGATGCCTCTTCGCCGCTGCCTTCTTGCACCTCGTGGCCATCGGCTTGACGCTCGGCGGGATCATTCGCGTGCAAGAATCGGACGCCGAGACGGTTCAGACGCCCGTGATGGCCCACGCTGATTACCCCCGCGACGCCTCGCCCGCCTAGCGTTCGTTGAACATCAAGAGATGCCTCCGAGAGTATCGAATCTTTAAATTTCAATAAGAACTTACGGGATTGCGCGTTATTGCGGAGATTCTCAGCGCGACGAGTGCGAAGCGACGGACGGATTCGCCTCGTGCGCTCGTTGCGCTTGGAGATCGCTCGGTATCACAATCGAACACTCGACGCTGATTGGCTGGACACGAAATTACGGGAGCAGTTTTTTGCTCGCTATTGTATGATCGATAGCAGCGTCGAGGGACCACTGGTCGAGCCTCGCCGTAGCGACGCGGAACATATCTGCATGCAGGGTGTTCTCTGCAGCTGGGGCGCTTCTCGGCCGGTGGCGCGATATCCGCGGGAGGATTCGCGCCCGCTGATTCGCCGCGACAAAGAAGCGTCCCACTTTCGGCCAGATTGCTTTTTGACGCCATGGTCGCAGCCCGCGTGCTCGGCTCCCGGGACCTACTCCCGCTCGTCAGCGCCTACCAGCGCGGCACGCCCCAAGAGGTACTCGAGCTGCGCGAGCTCCTCGACGGGATCGACCTCGCGGGCCTCCACGCGCTCTTGCTGGCGGCCGACGAGACGTATCCCGCCAAATGCTTTGCGGCCTTTGCGGCCTTTCACAAGCGCGTGTCGCCAGCTTCGCTCCTGCGCGTCGCCTTCACGAGGAGCCGCGCCGCCGCAGTCTACTATGCCCTTGTCCACGGCAACCTCTCGGTCGTGCGGGGCATGCGCACGTCGTCCCGCGCCGCCATCTCCAACTCGCAGTGGATTATCGCGGCAACCTTTGGCCACTTCCATGTGATCGAGTATCTGCACCGGCATGACTGGGCCAACTACGATCCGCGCGCGATGAAGGCCGCGGCCATGCGGGGCAACCTCGCGATGGTAGTGTACCTCGAAGACCTCGGGTACTGGAGCCCACACGTGCTGCGCTGGGCGTGCACGGCGGGCCAACTGCACGTCGCAGAGTTTGCCAACGACCGCGAGACCACGAGATCGCTCGGCGCCGGCACGATCAACGACGTGGTGCGGTCCGGGAACTTTCCGGTCCTGCGCTTCTTGCACGAAAACGACTACGACGGCTTCTCGGACGAGGCTGTCGACATTGCCGCCGCCCGAGGAGACGTGGCCACGGTACGCTTCTTGAACGACAAGCGCCGGCTCCGCGGCACGCGCAATGCTATGCTGGGCGCCGTCGACCACAACCACGTCGAGATCGTTAGATATCTGGACAAGCACTGCAGGGCCAACGATATTGCGGGCAGCCTCCGTCGCGCCGCTGCCTGCGGCCACTTGGAGCTCGTGACGTACTTTTGCTCGCATTACGAAGGCGAGACCCTCTTGGTTGGCGCGCTCGAAGCGGCTCGACGAAGCCTTCGTGTCGTCGCCTCTCGCACGCAGAGGGAGCGGCTCGAAGCCGTGATCGCGCACCTCCAGCGCCTGCGCCCGACGCCGCCCGCCGACGACGCAGCGTGCACGATCCAATAAGTTCTTATTTACGTCCATGTCGTATGGAGACGTTCACCCAATCGCAACGCCATGTTGCCAAGTGAAATGGCCAATCGGGTTGGCTTGTGACAGATCTTGCGCGAAGCGACGGTTTTTGCATGGGCTGCAGCTTGTAGACGCACGGGGGAGTGGTCGCCAGGTAATGTGGCTACGTGCAGACACGGCCCTGCGTCATCATCATCCCATTGACAGCTCTTCGCAGAAAAAGAACGGCGCCGCGTCGCTGCAGCGAGAACACTCGCGGCCAAAGAATGGCGGCCCATCACACTCCGACGATCGCAGCTGATGCTTATCCGGTCAGTACATATCTCAATTTCTTGCCCCATGCCACACGCTCTGCGCTCGCCGGACCTGGTCCTCACCATCGTGGCCTACCAGGATGGCTACAACCAACATACGATGGCGCTCGTGCGCGCCTTGCGCGGCGTATCTTTGCAGCAGACGCAGGGCTTGCCAAGGATCCTCGGTCCCTTCCACGTGCGCTTCGCCGTCTGGCACCGGCGCTTTGGTGTGCGTGGCCTCGACCAACTCGTCGCCGCCGGCTACCAGGAGCACCTTCTCTACTACGCGCTCACGTACAGCAACACGGCGCTCTTGGTGCACCTTGGCCATCGGCTCTCGGACGCGCACTGGGCCGTGGCCGCGACGTACGCGCAGCTCGGCGTCTTCCAGCACCTCTTTGCCCACGGAGAGGCCGCCAGCTGCCCGGCGCTCGTCATGCGCACGGCGGCGAGCACTGGCAACACACCACTGCTGCGCTTTCTCCACCAGCACAGCGCGCCCGTGGCCCACGACACCCTCAAGGCAGCCTGCAACGGTGGCCATACCAAGGCGGCCGAGTTCTGCCTCGCTCACGGCCTTGGTGTCTGGGACCGGTCGACAGTGGCGATCGCCGTGCTGCACGGGCGCACGAACGTGGTCCAGTTCCTGCATCGCCATCGATATCCAGGGTTCTCGGCCGAGACGATGGACCTCGCGGCAGCGTACGGCCGCCTCGACATTGTGACGTTTCTGCACAAGAAGCGCGACGAGGGCTGCACGGCGCGGGCGATGGTCGAGGCGGCAGCGAACGGCCACGTCTACGTGGTGCGCTTCCTCGACACGTTTCGGCGCGAAGGCAACGCGTTGGCGGCGCTCGCGGCGGCGCTGCGCCATGGCCGCGTCCTCGTCGCAAAGTACTTTCTGTTTGAGCGCCGCGTCGGCTTGGACAAGGCCAAAGTGATGGCTCTCGCCAACCAATGCCACCACCCCGCGCTGGCGACGCTACTGGCTGCGTTGTAGTTTAACTAATGCGTCGTCTCGGATTGTTGCAGCCGGCCGCGTTGCTTGTTGGAGGCTACTGCTCTTTGATTGATGGAAGCGCCACGTGTAAACCTTTGCAAATATATACAATATAAAAGGATACAGGTGAAGTGCTTGGGCGCCTCGTCAGCACCAAGTGCAACTTGGATTGCCATGAAGCGAACGGTTAGAGAAAACAGGCTGGGTGGCCAATGCGCAGGTCGTGGGCTGGGAGTGCGTGGATGTAGACGTAGGTGAGCGGGCCGTCGACGCTGTTGTTGGCGAGTGTTGCGACCGGGATCGATATCCGCAGCGTCTTCTTGCAGCTCATGGGGAGGAGGCGCGCGACCACAAATGTTGCGTAGTCTTTGAACCGAATCAAAAGGCCGCAGCGCATGGGGACAAAGCCGAGCGTCATGACGGCGGCGGTCGACGTGCCAATGTTCTCTCTCCGCGCGTCGACGCAGAGATACCGCGAGGCGAGGAAGCGATCGAGGAGCTGCCCGTAGCAATGCGTCTCGAACGTTGTAGCAGACACTTTGGCGAGCGACCCGATAGGATCCTTGGCGTAGCCGAGGAGGCCGTGGACTTTGACGAGTTGGCGCGGGTGGCGCCGAAAATGCAAGGTGATTGCTAGCACATAGAGTGAAAGCACCGCGAGATGCATGGCCATGACAGCGAGGACGCGGGAGTTGATCTCGTTGAAGCAGTTGCCCGTGCCAAGGATGCACGGCGTCGGGTTGGTTCCGACCTGCAACTTGGTGTTGAAGCTGCAGCCGAGGAAGGTTTCGGCGCCCGTGACGGCGAGCGCCAAGAGCGTCAAGAACACCCGATGAAATATGCCGATGCTAATGCTTGTGTAGTTGAGAGCAACAAAGAGCTTAGACGGCCAGCAGTGCGACACGATCAGATTGTGGTAGAGCGAAATGACCGAAATGAGGTAAATGGAAAGGATCGAGTCCGATCGAAGCATGCTGCTGAGGTTGAAGACGAGGTAGTACTTGCCGAGGAGCGAAACGAAGAGAAGCACTGACGAGTAAAACGTCGCGCTTATCAAGTCGACGAGGATCGAGACAGAGACGTCGTGCTCGACTGAGCCGAGCGCGGCGAGCACCACCACAAACTGCGCAATGTAGGTGGCGAGCTGCGGGCCGAGCCAAATGTACTCGGCCGTCACGAGGTTGGTGTAGCCGTAGTCGATGCGCTCGAGGACATCGTAGCACAGATTCGGGGCTTGGAGACCGAGGAAGATCTTGGCGCCGTTAAAGTTGAGAACCGAGAGGAAGCTCACAACCACGATCGCCGCGCCGTCGTCTCGAACGCCCTGGAAGCTGAACGGGTCCTCGATCGTCCGCACCCAAGCGTGGTTCACGCGGAAATACCCGAGACCGGCGACGGCCACCGCGTCGGGTAGCAGCGTCTCCGCGCGACGTCGGCTCAAAAAGTCTCCGTCGTACGTGAAGAGCATGAAGGCGTTGGCGATGGCGCCGCCGCGCGCCTCCTCGCCGTCATAGAAGTACCTGGATGTCCACGCGTGGTAAACTTTGCGCTCGGTGTAGCTGACGCAAAAGCCGTTGACCCAGTCGAGGGGCGAGCCGGCAGTGCCAATGCAGCGCACGGGCCGTGACGTATTCGCATGGTGCGTACCGATGACGACATCCAGATCGGCCAAGTGCCGCGCGGTCGTCGTGGCATCCATGGAAGAGAGGTACTCGCTGGCGTTGGTGACGAGCTGGGCAAAGACGAGCGGCTCGGCAAACTGCGTCGTTTGGGTGAGGTTTTCGAGCGACTGCAATAGCGCTGGCGCGTTTGGCGCCAAAAGAAGGTTGTAGAAGCGGAGGTTGCTACTGTCGATGACCGTGAACGGGTGCAACTGTGAGATCTGGCTACCGCTAAACGTCAGTGTAAGGCCGTTGTACGACGGCTTGGCAACGTAAGCCACTGCAACACTCGAGATGAGGAGGCTCACGATCCACGTCGTAGTGCGCCTGATGCGACTCTGGGCAACGAGCGTGGATTGCATGAGCCTGTGCCCGTGTTCACTGAACATCCAACGTGGCGCTCGCGAGACACCACCATACGGGCAAGGCAATTGGACGATCGTTGGAGCCCTCTCGACCGCCCATGTACTCGGACTCACCTCGACTTGATGACGAGCCATGAACGACTCGAACGCCCTACTTTAACACCAATGATGGGATGGGCCGCCACTAAATTTATTTTGGGCTTGAAACGGCGCGCGCCTCAGCCAGGAAATGGCGGCAGGCGTCTTATTCATTACTATAACGTTAATACATGTACCCCAGCATGTACCCACTCCATGACCTCACTACGATACCTCTCGAAACGTTGACCAAGTGAGATTGAATGAAACCAGCCAATCGTCATCGATCTTTGAATACCCAGCGCTTGAACGAATTGACCAATCACAGGTCGCATCCATTTTGGGTCATGGACGACGCCATCGTTCAAGCCCTCCAAGCCGACAACCTCATCGAAGTGGCGCCATCTATCAAGAGCGCGCGCGACAGCGTATGCCTGCAGACTTTATTATCCCTTCTGATGTAGCCTAGGAACGCAACACGGTCTTGCACCTGGCAGCGAAGGCACCAGCGGTCTGGTGACGCTCTTGGGGCTGCCGTGGCCCTCGCTGGACGTTGCCAACCAGGTCCGCAGCATGTTTGTCACATTGATGCGAATTGTTTCGTGTGTAGCAAGGCTTGACGCCGCTGCTCATTGCAGCGACGAAAGGGCACGCGGCGCTTGTCTCGCTGCTACTCGAGCACGGCGCCGGCATCGACTTTGCCACGAGCGTACGCGTCCCGACGGCATGGCCAGCGCTCATTAAAGGGTCCGTAGAGCCAACAAACCGCCCTCTTCATGGCAGTCGCACACGCGCGTGTTGACGTCGTCGAGCTCTTGCTACGCTTTCGTGCCAACCCGAATGCACCCAATAAGGTCTGGTATGCTTTGAGTGACGGGGTTGACTCTCGCGTTGGATTGTAGCATGGCGAGACACCTCTGTTTGCATCCGTAAAGAGAGGCCTGCGGGAGAACCACGAATTGATTTGGAACCTCCTACTGGGTGCTGGCGCGACCGTCCACCATCGCAACAAGGTTCGGTTGCAGCGACCCGACCCGTTTTGCTCAACGTTACAATGCTAGGAGGCTCGCTCACTGCTGTCGACAGCAATTCACACGGAAAATCACCACGAACGCATGGTGTCGCTGGTTCTCTCGACGCCACCGCCGGTGCCAGTGCTGTCCGAGGTACTTCATCCAGCTCTTGAAGATTCTTGATTGGACAATATTCGCAGGGGTTGTGGCATGCGCTGCCGTATCCCAACTTCCTTGCGCTACTGCTTGCCGCCGACGCAGACCCCAACTTGCAGAACTATGTACGTCGAAAAATCTCTATTCTGCTATAAACTCGGATTCTAGCTCGGCTCCACGCCGCTGCACGATGCGATCGGAGACCAGACCTCGCGTCTGCCCGTATGCTGATTCCTAGGACGAACCTCAACGTCTTGAACGTGGTAGCGTGTCGCCTCCTCGGTGCTGGCGACCAAGAGTTTTGTAGATGGGGCACTCGCCTCTTCCACTCGCCTCTTCCACTCGCCATCTACAGGCGCGTGTACGACTTGGATATCGTGCGCCGCTTGCTGCAGCACGGCGCCGACCCTCGTTTCGCAGCCGACGACTCGGTACTTTAATCCGACCACTGCACACCGACGTTCAGATCAAAACTAGATCTACAGCTGTACATTGCCATCGACATGGACCGCGCAGCGATTGTCGCGCTTTTAGCGCCGCTCGTGGAGGTCAACACCCTGGGACATGTACGCTTTTCCTTTGACCGCTAAGGTTGCGATGCGAAAATGTACTCGACGCACTTGGTTCGCGCACTGTACAACCCTGCGATCCTTGCATCGCTTTTTGACGCCGGCGCAGACCCAAACGTCCGTTTGGAGGTACTGTGCCTCCGCTTGCATGTACCAACAACGCACCCTCGGCGTAGGATGGGCGGTCATTGCTTCATGAGGCGTGCAGCCGCGGGCTTCTTCCAGCCGTCGAGCTACTCCTGCACCGCGCCGGCAACGTTGCTTCGTACCGCCATGTTGGCCTTCGTGTCTCTAGTGACAGTCTCTCACGTGATGTGGTCTAGAACCGCCAGTCGTATCTGGACATTGCTCGGTTCAGAAACTAGCGCCAAATCGTACGATACCTTCTCCAGACCATCTTTCCCACCAGTACTTTGGAGACGCGCGATCTCTCTTGGCAACCCGACGCTACGCTGGAAGCTGCGTACGCGCTTTTATGGTGCGGCTTTGGCACCGCCAAGCCGCTGGCGTACACGCAGGTCGAGCTGACGTACATGAACGCGCTCTACCATGCACTCAACCAGCCGCAACCTGCGCCACAGGATCTTCTCGCGGAGGAGCTCACTCTGCTTGAGGCGCACTGCGTGACGCCGCTGGGCTTTGTGCCCAACACGGCGTACGGCGTGAGCCACTGTGACGACGTCGACGTCACCGCCATCGCGCTGGCCTTGTGACGCAGCGCGTCACGTGCATGACGTTCTCGACCCAAGGTCCTGCATGGATTCTACACGTCGCTCTACGCCACAGAAGAAGGACCGGACGCCCACGAGGTCGACCAGGTCCTGGACTCCACGATCAAGACGCGCCTCCCGTCCGACATGGCCCAGCGCCTCGGGGCGCCGGTACTGGCCTCGGAGCTCTACGAATGCATCCAGCAAGCAGCGCGTCTTTTTTTCGCCTGGCCCGAACGCGCTGCCGTACGAAATCCTCAAACTGGCGCCGGCCAAGTGGGCCAGCGCGCTCGAGCTCGTGTTCAACCACGCGCTCTTCGACCAGACAACGCTCACGCTGAACCAAGTCCAAGGCACGACGATCCTCTTGCACAAGAAGGGCGACCGCGACTGCCCTGCCAACTACCGTCCGATTAGCCTCATCAACAGCGATGTCAAGATCCTCACCGCCGTCTTGGCCAACCGGCTGCAGCCGTGCGCTGACCTCTTGGTACACACGGATCAGAACGGCTTCATCAGAGGACGCTCGATCATGCACAACATTGAGCGGCTAGAAGGTCTGCTTGAGTACGCCCGCCGCCACAAGCCCGGGGCAGCCATCGCGCTCCTCGACAACTGACAGGTAAACCGGTTGGTATATACTACTTGCCGTGACATGGTCGTTTGGCATGAGCACTGGCTTGAGATTAAGCAATCGTTTCTATGGACAAGAGTTTCCGTCGGTCAAGTCGCGCATTCGTTTACGAGGGTCTATATGGTGCTGTAGCTCAAAGGAGTACTTTTTATCACAATCCATTTGGTGTCAACTGCGTGAGGCTGTCGTCACGCTCAGCTTTGGCACGAACCGCGATGGCGTCTGCAGTTGCGGCGTCCAGCAAGGCTAGACCCACAAACGCTTCGATGATGCGCAAGACGCTGTCGAGAACGCTTGCGAAACGCGTGCCTTTGAGTGCGTCGAGTAAAAAGCCGCGCTGCTGCGGAAACACATAAGCCGTCGAGAGCACGTCCACGTCTGAGTGCAGAAGACGCGCAGCAGCGTGAGATGGCCTTTTTGCGTGGCGTCCAGCGCATGAAACGCCACGAGCCGGCGCGAGTGATTTTTCGTAAATGATCACTGACACACATCGGTTCAGGACACGAGCACACAGAAAAAACACAAACTTCGCAACTTAGCAACACATCGAAGTACCACACAGTCTTACGAAAATACCTCCACACAGGATTACTGCTGGCGATACAAGAATTCGCGTGGAAGCACGAGTTTCATCGACACCTGGAGCAAGGAACTTGCCCTGGAGCAAGGAACGTGCACCCCTTGTGCATGTGCACCCCCTTGCCGGATGAATAGGATCGTGAGTTGCCGCTCGAAACGATGCGTTGCCGCTCGAAACCGACATGCATATATATAGCGCTCGTCCGTGCGCTCATCCAAGCCACTTTGCCAATAAATCTCCCACTTTACCAAGTAAGCTACCCTATTGCCACTAAAGCTCGCGCGTGGGGAGTCAAAGGCAGACGACGCTATACGTCACTGTGCGCTCATCCATGGGAAGCACTCCCCGGACCCGAAAGCACTCCCCGGACCTTGCTAACGCAGTCGACTTTGTGTAGGGCACGACCTAGATCCCGGACAGATCCTGGCCCACAACCTACCGGTACCTTGGAGTGTAGTACACATACCACTGGCACCGAGAGACAGCATTGACTTAACTACCGGTAATGCATTGCGATGCAGTTCGGTCCATGAAAATCCTTGGTCATGAAATCCGGTGGTAATTTACTGAAGGAAATACCGAAGGAAATAATTCTACAATGGGAACTCAAAAGAACCGAGATGGCTGCCACGATAGTTGCCTCTGCAATGCCAATACCAATCACAGTAACCTACCGGTGGGCTTCCCGTTATGTCTTCTTATTCCAGCGTATGGCATCATGATTATATGCCAGCAAGATTATTCTGGCCCTTATGCGTTCGACCACCACACTTCCAGCGTTCTTATTTCCTGCTTCCGAGACCGTTCCCGTCGTATGTCGATACACTTCCGCTGTGTGCCCGACTCTCAAACCGCTGTGTGCTCTTTCCTAACCTCAGTGTGTCCATATTGGGTGCTTGTCACGGAATTTGCTGTGTGTTATTGGTGAACCATAATGTGGCCATGATGGACTCTCGCAGCCTTGTCCGCTTTGTCGGTCTCGGCTTTCAGCTTCGTGATCGGCTCGGCCTGCTTGCTTGCCGCAACTTCGGCAGCGCGCTCGGCTTCTTCGTTCTGCTTGGCGAGGTCGCTGGCCGGCTCATTGGCAACGCGATCGGTGTCAGCCTTCGGCTTCGCAGTGTCCTCGGCTTCCGTCGTGCCCGCCGCCTCGTCTACGTTGGCCTCGACCCTTGACGACGTCG